ACCATAATTTGAAGTAGTGGTTATTCTCAATATAGTTAATTCAGAGAAAATACATATCCCCTTTTCCACCTAAGGGCAAGCAGAGAAAGAAATAGAACGTTTGAAAAGACTTGAACAATCTCCTTTTCTATTTGCAGCAAAATTATCTTAGCTTAAACATTAATAACACGCATAGTACAGGCAACAAAAGTACAATTCTTATGGAAAATAAGAGAGATTTACCTCTCTAAACTCTAAGAATACCAAATAATCTCTAACAATGCCATGTCAACTTTTGTTTTAACATCTCAGTTTCATTTACATATCCCCCTTTTTTTGGCTTCTCTTCCCCCCAGTTGCCTCTGGATTTCCAGGAACGCATCAACTCCTACATGGAGAAACATAGTCGGGGTAGAGGAGCCACCATAGCAATGTGTCACCCCAATTACCCTGAAGAAGTGCCGACAGCAGTTATTGCCAAGGTCCTGGAAAAGCTTGAACCAGGAAGTGACTCCCCTATAACATGCTCATCAAGCTCCCATGTTCAGGATGGAGACTTTTTAATAGGAACAGGAAGCAATGATCACCTAAACCGCCGCATTTCATACAAATCATCTGACCTGTACTGCAGCGACACAGCCCTGTATTGTCCCGAACGATGGCAAGACACAGAACGAAGGCAGAGTGTTGACCTCCATGACACTGGGCTGCTTCAGCTGCATGCTCAGACCTCCTTAGAGAGTAACCCAGATGATGATCCTTTTCAGTCTGGTAGTTTCTCCCACCATGATCCCCCATCGTCTTTTCACCACCATGAAGAGTTTGGCACTGGCAGTTTCCCTGCCTCTAGTTCGTACTCCAGCTTTAGCCTTGCATCAGATGAGAAGGGGACAGTCAGTGGAGGGGGTGGGCGCACCACCAATAGCGCCTTATCCTCTTCCCATCAGGGTCTTTATATGGACTGGCGAGATGGTGTAAGTGGGGACTATGACCACAAGAGCTTGTCTTCATATGACAAACAAAATCCTGGCTTCTCCAAGTCACACAGCGTACAGCGATTGGTGAGCACTAGAAGTCCCCAAAAGGGCATGTCACCATCGTACACAAGGACAGCTTCATGCTTCAGTGAACCATACCACTCAAGCTCCCCTCGCCTTGCCTCCTCCCACAGCATGGGGTCCACAGCAGGACTGGGCCAGGCCCAAGGTGGAGCTTTGGACAGCCGGAATGACATACAGGTCCCTGAGGATGACTTAAGTATCCGCTGGAAACAGCTCAGCGTTGAGGATATCCATAGTTTCTCTTCTTATCGCAACATGGCAGGCCGGATCTCCCCGTACAGCTTCTCTGAGCAACAATTTGCCATGGGCCCATCAAGTAAGCACAAAGAGTCTCTCTACAGCAGTTTCCAAGAAGGTGATGATGTCTTCCACGGCCATGTCCTTGACCACTGTTTTTCTGTCGGCTCCCCGTCACCAAGCCAAAATCCCAAACCTAAAGAGCATCGTAAGTCTGAGAAAACATCTGCGTTGTATCGAGCAAAGGATGACAGTCAAGACTCAGAGAGCAGTCTGTTCCTCTCTGGGAGCTCTAAAGACAAGGAAAGCAGTGGGGGGGCAACATCGGCTAACAGTACCAAGAAGGACTATGTAAACCTGGGCGTGGATAGCTCGGCTGAGTCCTTGCACCACAGCTCATTGGAGGCATCAAGTCTTCAGCACTACCCAGCCCCAAGGCCAACCATCCGACCTCGCCCTAGCTCCAGTTCTGCCCTCAGCACAGGTCCTGCACTCCCGAAGAAAACTTCTCCGAGATACAAAAAATTTGGAAGCACAGGATTGACGAGGAAGGACAGTTTAACCAAGGCACAGCTATACGGTACGCTGCTCAACTGAGTGCAGACAAGCAGTTTCAGTTTATGCATGCTGATGGTGATGACTCCAAACTGTACTGTACTGTACTGCACTGTATGTTTCCCTGAAGCAAACACATTCTTGTGATGGGATGTTAAGCTGTTGTCCCTTTTTGTATCTTAGCCAAGGCACGCTTCATGCAGTCTGTAACATGTTTTCTATTGTGCATCTTGATATACTGTAGCAATCTGATACCATCTTTAAAGAAAATGTAATAGTTTGCTTTTCCAGTAATGAGGATTTTAATTAGCACCACCATTATGTGGTTAGCACAGTAAGCAAATTGATATAAACTCCTGTTTGAAGGGCATTTATCATCACCAATATCATCAGAAACTTTTAATTCAAAACACTGATATTCTAGAATAAGACAGAAAGACATTGTACTTTCTGCTCCGGTCATAACAAGAACTGTTATTCTAATATGCATCCACATGCATTAATTGTGCAAGTCTAGCTTTTGTCCACATCATTAGTGTTTAAGTTGGGATTAATTGCTTTACAGTAATATAGCTTTTAAAACAACACTGTCTGTTATTATACTGGAACTCCATGAGTCGTTGTGTAATCTGTCAACCCATGACAATAATCAATGTGCTCACCCGCCCCTCCACACACACACGCGCACACACACAAAAACCCCTTCAGGCCAGTGCTACAAATATGGTGGCTTGAAGGGAAGCTTAACTACTCATTCATCCAAAGACCACTTAAGGATTAACACTTTCCTGTCGTCTTTCCTGTCTTCCCTCATTTTGGCTCAGACATGGAGAAAAGTGCTTTTATTTAAGTTTTATTAAAGACATAATAAAACAAAAGATGTAAAAAGAAAAATTCTTGGTAAAACAAGAATTTGAAGTTGTTGCAAACAACTGAAATTAATCTCACTGCTCCAAGTGTTTATTTGGTGGGGCAAAAAGTATACATTTTCATAAAATATCTATTTTTATTGGATGGTGAAAAACAGATACTCTTCACCAGATCCCTCAGCTATCTCCATTAGGATTTTTAATCAAAAGTGCACAGTTCATCCTTTTTCAATGTTGGCCATGAGCGGCTACACATTTACTTGAAATTATGATTAAAAAGATATTTTCAGTTACAGTATACTTCACCATTTCCAGATGATCATCTCCTTCTGTTTGGATAGGGGCCCTGTCATTTACTATGACGGCCACCAAAAAACATGCAGTCATGTTAAAATTAAGCAATATACACCAAGCTCTAATCCCAATAGTGTTTACTTAATTATTTTAAAGCCTGGAAGAATTTTTGCATCGCAATCAGCAAAAAAAAAAAAAAAACATTGCCCACCATCGCCATCTGCTGGCAGTACTTAGTCACATTTCCATCAACTTAACAGCTTCCAAGGCTTTAGCTCCAACTTCATTGAACACCAATGTTCATACTGTGTTCCAAGCTACTTATCTCTTATCCATTTTGGCATCTAATATTTTTTGTTACACGTTTCCACATTTTTCGTCTTCATACCTTCACTGAAAGTCACTTGGCTCGGTTAATTTCTTGCTTACTCGTTGTTTACTCGTTGCAGGTAGGTCTTGTTATGATAAATACTCAAAACAATTAAGTTTAGAAATAGGGAAAATAGGTGTAAAACAAAGAAATACAATTTTAATTAGCCAACAGAGTCACATAAGTTAATCAGAAAGCCTTTGTATGCACCCTACTGGCATAGAAATTCACGTGAATAGGCAACTTTAGGAGTCACAAAGGAGGTTTTGGTGCCTAAAACTGATCTCAAAATTAACACTCTTGTTAGTAAGCTGGTCATGATTTACTCTTTTTTCCTAATGGGTTTTATGATTGGTATATATTTGCCTTTTGAAAACCCTGAAGTGATAATAATGGCCAACATGTGTTATGAAGTCTGCTACTTACTGTTAGCTTGCAGTCAACAAACTCTACAGCACTAAATATATCTCTCCCTGTTAAAAAAATGTACATTTTATTATACAAATACAGAGGCTGACTTGTTTCACGCAGACATTACCTGTAAGTTTTGAAAAATAGAGCAAGGCAAAAGCGGTCTTTATTGGAAATTCAATGTATTATACATAAACTACATTTATTATTCAAGCTACGTTTAAAACTTGACTAGATATTTGAATACTCTAAGAATATCACTTGTCTTATGTGTGAATATATAGTTGATACTATAAATAAGGATAAAAACACTACTCAGATAATTCATCCATTTATAGAAATAACTGTACTGTGCAACTAAACCAACAAAATAAAAACACACTGTAGAAAATGTCATAGCCATTTTTTTTCCTCCCTGTTTTAAATTAAATCAGACCTTTCCTGTTTTGGGTCAGCTGGTAGAGACAATGATTCCTCTTTGCTGAATGCTGAAATAATGAGAGATTAGTTTAGGTTTTTTTTAAAGTGTATTTTGAAATTTAGAAATTCATTTACATGTCATCAAATTCAGGAAATAGAAATGATTTATGGATATCCTAAATGAGATAAAGTGGTAGAAGGTCTGACGTATAGCCAGGCAATGATAGTAATGTATTTTAATAGTGTAAAAATACCTGGCTTTATCTTAAAAATTAACCATAATAGCACAGTAGGAGCATAAATATCAGCTGCATGAGTTTGATTTTATACAGCTGGAGTTTTTCATATTTTCTTATCAAAATAAAATGCGTACTGGCTGGCTGAACAGTGCAGTAGTTAAACCAGGACACTTTGCCTTAACCTTGTTCACCAGACAAACAGAATGGTTTCCTTTTTAGACTCCAAAATGCTGTGTACATACTGTATATTTGGGTGTTAAACATCATCAGTCCGTCATTTCTCCTTATGTCTGTTAGCACACACCAGGTATATTTTTGAAGGATCAGACCGAAGACCTGTGTTCGCAAATTTGTTTTTAAGATTTAATTAAAAAAGCATCTATGACACAGCTGCCCACTTTAAGCCCAAGAAGAAGCGCAGCAACATTTATGTGATTCTTCATTTCCTTCCTCTACAGATAGTTTTCTCCAGATTTTGCCTGAAAAAGAGTTGGAAAAAAAACCAGACTGAGTATTCCACTGTGTTGCTTTAAACCAGCATGCCCAGTTAGGCTACTTAACAGGAAACACTGTGAAAAACCACCTGCAATATTTCACACAAATAGTTATAAAGCATCATAGGCATGTTCTCCTAGTGATGAGTGCATAAAATTAATGGACCCTCTGGTATATTTAAAATGAGCCCCAGACAGGTGTTTTTTTTTTCTATCCTCCAACAATTCCCCAGAGTCATATTTAAGCATTTTTTGCAAAGAGGCAAGGTTACAATATTTGCGCTCCTACAGTGTTCTTCCTCTGCAGATCCAAGGAATGCTAATGGACATGTAGTGTTGAGCTGTGATGGACAGATTTTATTTTAAAAAGACCTTGCCTCTACCTCCTTAATTTACCCAGATCTAAGGACTGATTCAAAAGCTCAAAGGCTGTTTTCAAGATTTTGTACGACCCTGAGACACAAACATCCTTCCAAACTAGTGCATAAAACAGAAGCGGGTGAAAAACGCAAGACTGTACAGCGGGGATGATAGCTTTGTTGTTGACACAATGTATAAAAGATGATACTACATATATAACTGTTATACCTATATGACTATTTTTATCTAGTTTTAGTTGATGTTATTTATTGAGCATTTTGACCCTGAATGACAAGGCTGAAGTTCTGTTCTGTCCAACATCCAGCCCTGTTCTAGGACCTGCAGGCCCGTCGTCTAAGTGTCAACATGTTTGTCTGATGCATGGTTATATATTTTTGCTGTATGTTTATTTACTTAATAAAGATGGACGTTTGGGGGAAAAAACTTTCATATCTATTGCACAATTATTTGGTTTGTAATATTTTGGGTCAAGTTCGTGGAGGTAAATCCAGCTGTACGAACATAACCTCACTTTAAATCTGATGGGGACTAGAAACTGTCACAGAGTTACTAAGAGGAGCTGATAAAATCAGCTTTTCAAGGTTTAAACTTTAAACTTTTATTTTACTTTTGTTTTTTCAGCACTGTAAAATACTTGTTTATATAAAGTATTCTATGAATAATAATAATCCTCATTGCATGTCCGATTCACAGTACACACTATCATTGTAGATCATACACACACCATGGCCACCTGTTGCATTTTTTTTATGGTGATGGGTGGAACTAGAAATCCTGCAGAAAAACGTGTTAGTTTGCTTTCCATCAGGAAAATGCAGCCAGTAGAAGTGCAATGTAGTAGTTTCAGATCAAAGCATATTTATGTTTTAAAATTGCATACTCAAAGTCCAGAAATTCATCTAATTAAAAAAAAGGAAAAAAACAAAGATTTTTTTTTTTTTTATTCAGGTATTCTCCATCAATCAATTATCCAAAGAAGAATGAGCAACTATGCAAGCCTCCAACTGGTATAAACATACCTCAAAAAGATTTGCAGTTGTAAACGTATGCAATGGTTTCATATTTTTTATTTGTATAAACATGCATTGTTCTCTATTCACTTCACAGCAATGAACTCATTTGTTTTAAAGAGAAAATGCTTCTGAAAAGCAATGCACCTTCTTTATGGTCTCTCTAACCTAGCTATTTTAAAAACCTGTTTTGCTGTTTACAGTATTTTATCATTTAGGATTTAAGGGTACATTGTGTAATAATTAAAGAGATGTCAATCATCATCACCTCAAACTTTATGCGGCCTTCCCTTAGAAATTACTATTTATAAATACATAGTAGTGGGTTCTGGCAGTGCAGAACTCACATACTGGTGACTGGAGTGATTGCCATTACAATGTGACTGTGGCAAGTTAGGCCTATGTACAATCCTACACATACTAATAAAATTATTTTTATAGAATTATATATCTAAACTTGACTTACGGCCACCAACGGCAAATGCCCCTTCATTATGAGTTAAATAGCCAGTTGTTGAGGCAGGAGCAGAAGAGAATCAGTGTGAGAAGAGTGGCTGAGAGAGCTCCAGAACCAGGATGAGCTGGCAGTACCGTGGGAACTAGCTCTGCCAACGTGAGGAAAATGTGAACAGAAAGGGATAAAAGTTTAAGTTAAAAACAAACTAACTTTGAAACGCCACAATTTTCATCATACCAATGTGGGTCATGCCATTTGCATCATTCAAGCAACACCAACTGTTACATACAGGCCCAGGTAGTACACGGTAAGTTTCAATATATGTGCTCCATGAAAAGAAAATATATGGACTGCAGTAAAATTAAGCCAGAGATTTATGTTTTAGCCAGAAGAAAAAAAAAATACTTGAAATAGCATTTATTTCCTGTGGCAAGGCCATGGCAAAGCTGCAGCTAAACTAACAAAATACAAATACTCTATAGAAAATGTAATAGCCTTTTGTTTTATCTGTTTTAAATTAAATCAGACCTTTCCTGTTTTGGGTCAGCTGGGATAGAAAATTATTTCTCTTTATTGAATGCTGAAATAATGAGAGCTTAGTTTAGGGTTTTTTTTAAGTATATTTTGAAATGTAGACATTTCAAAATCCTAATAAAAACTGAACAGTTTAATAGATGGCGTTATTCAATTTCAGATATCTAAATGTAGTAACACTATAATATGGTTATTTTTATTCACATAAAACAAGTTTCTTCCAACCATTTAACAAAAGAAAATACAGACTCAAACCCATGCATACATATAATAAAACACAAAAACCCATGCTGGAATTAGGCTGTGTGCATGCGTCCTTAAAATCAGTGGAGATAGTGACTTGTGCGCTTCTTCAGCACCCCGTTCCTGCAGCTATGCTGCCCTCTGTGGCTAAGAAACCACAGCAGCAGATGCAGCAGCTGAGGAGCATAGCATCAGCTCAGAGAAGACTACTGGGTAAACAGACTACTAATGGCCAGAGAGAGGCTATAACTGGCCTTGGCAATCTGGAGGCTAACTGAGGAGGATTGAAGCAAAATGGTGGATGATTAGATTAGTCCGCTGGGTGGAGAGAGGTCCGAAGGCAGGGAACAGTTGTTGCAGCTCACCATGAGCAGGATGGCATGACATCGAAGGAACCCGCCAGGGAGACAGAGCAGGAAGAGACGACGGCTGGCCAAGGCTAGCATCTAGAGGCTAACTGCTGGAGATGGACTGAGGACTGCAGTAGATCAGAGAAGCCTGCGGGCGGACTGAGCGGCGGACTGTGATGAGAGAAGGCATCAACTCGTCCGCGTCTGTGCTGGATGTAGGATACGAAACAGTCCTTCTAAATTAAAATTAAAATTAAAACAGTTTTTTAAAAGCCACTCACAAACCTCTTAAAAGCATTCCCCGCTTTATTCTTTGTCAACATTATTTTCTCTGCCTCCCATTTTAATTTTAAAAAAGGTAATCTCCGTGGCCTACTTCCTCTAACAGTCACTAAAAATGACACAATGTAGCTATAAAGAAAATTACAAAAAAATTCTCAAACCACTAAACCTTCCCCATTTTTCCACATGTCAATCAAATTAAGCAATCAGAAAATGGTGGTTTTCGAAAGAGGAAAACAGTCTTATTGAATTCTGATGTGAGACAAAGATATAGCATATATCTAGTTTTCATACGGACGTCCTAGTGGATGAAAGTAGTAATGATTAATTCTCAACAAATTCATTTTAGCCTAAAATGCTTACGTGAAGGATTTTGACATATGTTCTTTTTATTATAGGGAATGTTTATAACTTTGAATCCTTTGAGTGTTTACAAATGATAAAAAAAAAAGTCATATTGTCCCTTATCCTAAATTTGCTGAACTGTGAAACAATCCTCTTAATGTTTTTTTTCTCTTTTATTTGTTGGACATTGTTCTCTTCACTGCCTCGCCAGTTGCAGGCGGCTTCAATTTAACCTGAACAAATAATTTCACCTACCGGTATTTGTTTTTTTACATTTAGAGCAGCATCACTTTCACCTTTTAAACATAGATAAACAATTACAGAGCAGAGCATAAAAAATGGGCTCATATTTTAGTAATGGACATCAAAAAACACATTTAAAGAATATTTTCATCTGCCTGGTTTCTCACTACCAGGATTTTCAAGGAAACTGGGAAATCTTTGAGGGATGATGGCCTAATTTTCTTAGGTCTTCACTTGTCTCTCTGCGAGCTCTTAGCTGCTAATCATAAAAAAAATGTCACATTAAACTGTCAGCTGTATGAAGAGAGAATATGTGATAAAAATAACTGGTTTGATTAGTTGATTTGAATTTTTTTGCCTTTTATCTTTTAAAAAACTTTTAAAAATATGGGATCGTTATACAGAGCAGCGGGCTGAGAATGGTCTGCATCCAGACAGACAAAATAACATGAAAAGACGATTCAAATATGAATCTCTGTTTGAAGAAAAAAAGAAGGATATTTATAATCAAGAATAACTTCTAATATTCAAGAAGAGTTAAACATTCAACCTTTTATTTTACAGATAATTCTTAAAAACATATGAACACTTATTTACACTGATATCTCAGTTCCAGATTTTTATTTCACCCGCCCAGTCACAAGTGGCTGCAGTTGCAGGCAGGACTGGATGCTGTGAAACACTCAGGCAGGGCTGGCGGTGAGCCTGGAGGGCATGCAGGACGCGAGTACTCTGATAGTCGTAGAAGTGGGCCGTACCCGTGGAGCTCCCAGATGCCAGTATGGAACCATCCATGGAAAAGTCACACTGAACAGCATAACCCTCCACCTAGAAGAGAACATACAGCATGTTGAACAGCATCAACCCCCCACCTAAAGAAGGTTTCGTAATCATTATTAATCACCAAGAGTAACGTACTGCACTGGCAGGGTGCCGCCATTTTTACAATCAACGGCAGATGTACACACCAAAATTCTGACAACGCCAGAAGTCACTCCCAAAAGAAGGTTAATGAAGTTATATTAAGTCCACTGTCAGAAGGTGAAGGTTTTTCATCCACCAATGTTAAGAGAAACCATCCATCCATCCATTTTCTGAAACGCTTTATCCTAAGCGGGGTCGCAGGGATGCTGGTGCCTTTTTCCAGCTGTCTACGGGCGAGAGCAGGGGAAACCCTGGACAGGTCGCCAGTCCATCGCAGGGCAACACAGAGACAAACAACCATTCAAACAGATGCTCACACATAAGGAGAATTTAGAGAAGCTAATTAACCCAGCAGTCATATTTTTGGACTGTGGGAGGAAGCCGGAGTACCAGGAGAAAACCCATACATGCTCAGGGACAACATGCAAAGTCCATGCAGAAAGACCCCGGAAATCAGACCTCAACCTTCTTGCTGTAAGGCAGCAGGCTGCAGTGCTACCCACTTCTCCACTGAGCAGCCCATTAAGAGAAACGGAAGGTATTAAAGTCATGCCGTGTAACTTTTATCCACTAGGGGTGCCAGACCTATCCCTTCCAGGTTTAGCGCCTCTAAAAGCATTTAGCAACGCTGCACTGTCACTAAATTAAACCATTTTTCCTCTGTGTTTTGGGATCTGATAGCAGATCACTCTGAACCAGCAGACAGAGAAGTTATGGAGTTATTTTTAAAGAAAAGGCTGCATTCGCATCTCTAGTTTAAATCCTACATCAGAGAATCTAAAATATGTCTGATCAAACAAAGGTCATATTGGTTTTGTAACATCAACTTTTAGCTTGGTTAGCTCCGGTGTTTAAGAGGAGATCAGACTGCCGTAAAGCCGCACTCTAGCTGTGTCCGAACATCTGTCCTAAACACTATATAGGGTACTATATAGTGGTTATGCCATTTTAAATGAGTGTTCGAACGTCTAGTGGTGGAAATGTAGTGGATTCGAAATTTCCCACAATGCACCTTGACAAGTAATGATCATCCATGGTCACAAGACAAGCAGGTATCTCCTGGAATGCTTAGTGAGAGCTCTCTGCACAAAACATTATGGGATTTGTTGTGACAATGGCCCACTGCCACAAGGGCGACAAATAAAGATGCCGTATGCAAGATGTGGGGATGCACAGTCCCATGACCAAGGGGGAGCAAAAAGTAGAGATCATCTGTCAGAATTGTCAGTTTACTGGGTTCACTATAAAGTGCACTATATAGTCCCCACTCTATAGTGATTGAGGGATTTAGGGGTTACTTAAAATGGTGAATTTTTAAAAAGGCCACGACGACCATCAGTAAACATCAAGTGCTGAATAATGACCTTTAAATCATTTTGTAAATCGAAAATTAGGCTAATTCTTGGGTCAAAAATTACTTTCAGTGACGTTTATGTATTAATGGTGCTTTGTGGCTGCATTAGGGGGCGTTTGTTATTGGGCAGACAAACAGACAGAAAGTGTGGCTTCAGGATCTCAATCACTGAAGGTTTAAAAAACGTTCTCACTGGTTTAAACATTAATTTTTACAATAATTCTGAATATCAAATTTACAAACATTCTTTTAATAATTTTCCTGGTATCCTACAGTAGCTCTGGCTGTATATTAATTCTAATTAATATACCATTCATGAGAGAGATCTTCCACCTCAGTCTCCGATACTTTGCTGCCTTTAAGTCGTAGCGAAGCGGCTGTTCCAGCCGTTGCATTTCTGAATTCTCCCGAGTGATGCCCGACTTTACACGAGTGAATAAAGTGAATGGGATTGGTCGTTTATCAAGAGGGCAGGATTCTTGTGGCGGAAGGTTAGCAAGATTTCTAATTGTGGCTGGTTTGTCGAAAGCATCTTGCTAACCAGTTAGCAACTTAGTGCTAGTAGGTTCCCAATGGGAAATTACATTGGGAACCTACTAGCACAAAATTGGGGACTTAGAAACGACACTGTCAAGGAACGCTATGGACAGCAGAAACATGCAAGAGGAGGAGAGTTTAGTGTCGGAGGTCGTGGATAATTCTCCTCAGTCATACTTTTTTATTTAGAGGAGGAAGGCGGGAACAAAGATGTTGTGGAAGAGAACGGCAGGGCGGAAGAAGCTTGGTTTGGTGTAGAAGGCTTACAGCCGTACACGTTTGAGCCCTTGCCTCGCAACGCTGCCAGTTCTGTTAGCTCTACGCCTGCTGAAGACACAGACGTCCATCCCCATGAACACTGGGACGGAACTCAATGGTAAAGTAAATTATTCTTATTTCTTATTTCAACTGTTGCGTATATTAGCTGCAACATATGAATCAAGATGCTTTGACCAAAACAATTCGATTGACAGGTGACCTTTGATATATGATTGGCAGAATTTAGGTGTACAAGCTGACATATAACTAACTGGCTAAAGATAACGAAGAAAAAAAACACCGATTTTAAGACAGGATTTTCTTTTAAATAGAAATTTTCTAACTTTTGGGACAATATCTTCTGAGTACATTTATATAAATGTTTAGGTCAGAATTATTTGAAATGTAAATATGACTTCCCTACAACTTTAAAAAGTTTTCTTCCAGGAATGTCCTGTTTTTAGCTTCATCCATTTTCCCACCGGTTCTGTCAGCTTCACTCTTCTAACAACTCCCAGAGCATGATGCTATCGAAATCATGTTTACAGTGAGGGAAGGTGTCTTAAGGGTAATGTGCAAAATTAACATTTTCAAGAATTTATGTCTCATCTGACCAGGCACTTCTTTGTTTTGATCAATTACCAAAAAATCCCAATAAAATGCTTTTTAGTTGTTATTTTGTGTTAAAATGTAAAAGAGTTGAAGGGGTGTGAATATTTGTGCATGCACTGTTGGCAATAACATGTTCTGCCGCCTTCACCCTCAGCCCAGGGTAATTACCAACCTTATGTCCATCAAATCGCCGCCTCTTGTTCATTCTGTAGGGCATTTGTGAGGAGAACAGTGCGATGTAGTTCCCATTGGTTTGGCCAACAAATGATTCCTCAAGGGGGTGAAGGGCCAAACTTGGACACGTGTAACGCTCCTGTTGACGAAATAAGTTTATGTAATAAAAAATCTAAAATGAACAAGGAGAACTTAAAAGTTTTTATTAAATTATCCAATTAATAGTGTATATTGTGTATAATGGTTAATGATATTAGTAGTAAAAAAAAAATGTTGCAGAACTCTGCTGCCGTCAATATCTGCCAGTTTTATAAGGATTGATCCAGATCAGGAAGTGAACACATGAATCTATATTTGAAGGCCGGATTGTAAGTTTTGAGGTGGAATTTCTCACTTAAAAACATAATTAAAACTACTTTTTACCCACTCATAACAGCAAATATAGCTGCCATTGTTACAGGGAAAGAAAGGATAGTGTAGCTCCGTCCAATACGCATCAGACCAACTTTTCGACTGCGCAGCTAGAGCAGCAAAGATGCTTCAGCCACGCGTCAGAACAAACTTGTATAAGCATTAAAAATGAAGCACAACATGTGTTTTTTGCTGCTTCTGCTGCATGCGGTCTGAATGTAGCATCACAGCTACTTACATGGTAGATCTGGTTAGAAATCTTGGCTGTGCTGTGGTAGTCCCAGGCGATGAGGGTGCGGTCGGCGGAGTCTCGACTAACGCAGTCAGAGCTCGTTATGAAATCTGACCCACCGCTAAGAAACAGGATGTCCAAGGTCTGCTGGATCGCTGCTTTGTAAGCTTTAACCGCCTAAAAAAATAAAAAAAACAGAAATATCTTTAGTTATATCTTACAGCTGAAATTCAATATTCATATGTGCTGCAAAAACACAAACAATATTTTTTTTCATGAATTGTCTGACAGTTTAATCCAGTTTGTGCTTTTTTTTTTTTGCTAAATGCCAAAACCATCATAAAAATGTAAACTTCCATTAAAGACATAACTTTCTCCAGTATAAGATGAAGGCTTTAAAACTGCCTTCCTAAAACATTGCCTTTATTCCTCTAACAAGGCCGATACCTTGAGATGTAAAAATTTTCACAACTTCTATAACAATTAAAGCTACACACCATGATGCTTCCGCCGCCGTACTTCACAGTGGGAACCTTTTTCTCAGGTTATAACTCTTCTTCCTTGTTCCACTGCAGAAGTAACCATGGTCAGTTTTAACAAGCCCTTGATTTTTGGTCTCATCAGGCCACATCACTTGTCTCTGAATAATTAAAGTCTCTGCACCCGAGGAAACTATAATTTCTCTTTTCATGTTGCTTTTATAGCAATAGCGTCTTTCTTATTCAGGACTTGTTTCACTGTGAATAATAACTCTTTTATCAGCTTTAGCACTCATCCTCACAAGGTCTTCTGCTTATATTTGGGGCTGATTTGCATATTTCCATCCATGCATATTTATCTCTGGGATGTAGAACCAGTCTCCATCTTAAACCATATGATGTTGAATTCTCCCATGATTTTAAGCAATAAGAAATAGTTTGGGTAATTTTAACTGACCTAAAACAGAAAAGAATTTCACAGTTTAAATATCTTCTCTCAATTAAAGGCGAAGTCAGTGTGGTTCTTTTATTGGAAGAGAGATTACTAGGATGTATGAATAGATCAGAACCACATGCACTGGATTTTGCTTGTAAAGCATCATAGAGAGCTCAGGGCAGAGCTTTTTATACAATTGAACCTAAATGCTGTGACTTTAAGGTGTAGGAGAATAAGCCTTAATACATAACTAAGAAAAACACTTTTGTGTTCTATGAACCAAACACTATATGTACTAAATATTTCATTTATAGTCAAACTTTGTTGTTTTCTCAATTGAATATTATTTTAAGGGCAAAACAAAGGTTTTGTAAAAGAAATCATGAAATTTTAATGAACACCTTTATTTCTTAGCCTGAACTGCAAGGTGATAAACAGTTATGGCAAAAACAAAAAGCCTTTTCACTCTATGGTCTCGGCATCCAGTAAGGGTTGCTGTTTTATGTCAGTGCGTCAGAAATCTGATTAACCAAATTACCTAGGAGAAATTTTTAATGCAAGCTTGCAGATTTCTAGAAGGTGACATTTCTACGGTGGCCCTGAAGTGCAAACTGCAACTACAAATCTAAAAGCGCAAATACATTAAGGAAATCGCAACTACATAAAGCAAAGCGCAACTACATTAAG